TAGAAGTGAAAAGGGGCCAGCTTTTAAAGGCAGGCAAAAAAAAAAAAAAAACACTCAAAGGACTAAATGACAAAAATAAGATTATTTTAAAATAAAATAGTGTTGAATTTCCTTGTGGCTGTCCTCTCTTTCTCTTGTTAATGTTTGTATGTGTTTGCGTGTTAATTTGTTGTGGTATGGCTCTAATCCTGATTCGTCCCTTCATGATGGAGGGTGCTGCCATTTTTAACATATGTGTTAGCTCGCCTCAGCCCTGCGAGTCCATCTGTGAGAGAACTGCATCCCAGAAGCGTCCAAATGGCCTCCTTTCCTCTCTTTAACAATTTCAGCTCCTTTTTGAAATTGGAAGGCTTTTCTTTCACTTGTGCTTTATTAAAATCAATAATCAGACAATAGAAGGGATTGGAAAGGAAACCATGTCAGATTTTTGGATCAGAACTCATATCTGTCTGCACATTTTGTCAATAATATTCTGCCTTGATTTGACCCCTGACCTCTAACACTGACCCCGTTTATTTGACCTCCACCAGACTCTCAACACAGTGAAGTGATCCTTGAATTAATCAATCAAACTCAGTGAGTTTCTAATGCTTTAAGAAATGGTCTCTGCTGTGTTGTAAACTGTGTTTGCAGATGCCTTCTCTCAAACAGCATCACAGGATGACCTTGAAAATTGGCACTTCTTCAAGTTGAATCTAATTCTGATGCTAACTTTCTGAAAACATTTGAGTGCTGTGACACATGATGTGTTTTATCAGGACACCAGGATGTTGTTTTTCTTGTTGACAGATTTTACTCCAGCATCTTTCTGAACTGTAGTTTCTCCCTTGAACTTTCTGTGAAGAACTAACACTGAGTACATTCTTCTTTTTCCAGTTCTCACGTTTACCAAATATCTCGCCAACAATACCTGCTTGAATTTAGCAGTTATAGGAACCGTTGTACATTTTTAGAGATACATTTATTCGCTTTCTGGTCAAAAGTAGATTCCACTTGTGTCTATAAGCTACACTCCAGCCACCAGCTGCTTATCTTAGGTTAGAATAGACTGGAAACAGACTGTTGTGGGTTCATATTGATGGTACAAACACAAGAGTGGTATCAGTCTTGTCTTCTAACTTACACAAAGAAAGCAAACATATTGAACAAAATGCCTAACAATCCTTTAAGGCATTTTACTTTCCAGCTGGTTAGCTAATACTTCATACCGCAGCCTGATAACCCTGGCTAGCCATCTTAAATACAACTGTAGGATCTGCAGCTTGGTACAGTACACAGCACTACCTACTCTTCCATTTGCCAACACGGGTGATCAGAAAAGCTGCTGTCTTGTAGCATTCAGGTCCGTTACACCAGCTACTGATGGGCATAATGTAGTGGTTGTAGTCTTCTGTGTCTCACATACTATTCTGTCTATACAAAAAGGACTAACAATCACTTAATAATGGCCTCAGATAAACGCTACAAAATTCTTCACGGTAATACAACAGCATAACTGTAGAGTGCTTTTCTGACCCACTTTGCTTTCAGGGGGTTTTGAAAAGACATAAGAGGGTTAATCCCATGGGACGGCCTAAGTCTCAGGTAACACAGAGTCGAGTCTGTGTTGAAGTTTGGCCTTTGATTAGATGTCAGACCATCATTTATGCAATTCACAGTGTCACATGCCTTTACCGGGACTCTCCTGAGTGGAAGACCAGACATTGGATTTGGACCAGAGTGCATTTTTAGCTTTCATCTTAATATGAATTGCTCTCACAAGGGCTCTTAGAAATGTACGTCAGTTTATGCATTGGTCTTAAGAGGGCACATAAAAACACCAAGCTTGGAATGAATTACTGGAGTCGAGTTTAATAAAAAAATATCTTTATTCGAGCTCTACAGCCATTCACTTGCTGAAAAAATGGACAGTAATTCACTTGTGAATTTGTTTTTGAGTAAACACAGCGGTCCAATCAAATAGCCAAAACACAGGGTTTCCATTTGCTGGAAACGAGATGCAGTACAAGACAGGACCACAGAGGTTTTTTATTTTTTGGTCTGTTTTACATTTGGTGCCCTAGGCAAAATTTAATGATTTAGATGGAGAACGTCATTCATGCTCACATCTTGGTTTTTCTACTGGAATAACAGTTGAAACAAAATGGAGGTTTTGGAGAGTCCAACGAGCAGATTCTGTGGCCATTCTTTATGACTGAGGTCGCAGGTGGATGCTTTTATTCAAGGCTCATTAACTTGCCAGGAGTCCTTACAATTAAAGCCAGTTTTGGTGATCCAGAGTGCTTCTGTATTGTGAGGACTGCATTAAGAGCAGTCCGGTGTTTGCATAGTGGCTTTCAGGATGTGCTGGAAGAGACAAGTGGCAGGTGACTTTGAGGTACTGTATGCCACTTTTGTTATTGAAGCCAAATGCTTGCTGCTCAGGCAGGACTAAATGTACATTGGGTTTTCTCTGTCAGTGAAAAGCAAAAGCCAAACAACACCTCACATCACAAGTGGATGAGCCACATACAGTATATGTCCTGAATAATCAGAACATTGATAATATGTTAAAAGCAATACATGATGTTATGCCCACTGCCGAAGCCAAAGTGGGTACTAGGTTGACATCTGCTGGTAAAGACAGAGAAATGGATCTCAGTAAACCGATGAGAAATGTTAATATGATTCCTCTAGACAATGAAATCATGAGAAACATGTAAACAGAAAATATTTGACAACTTATTAACAAAACAGGTAGGCAATAATCTAAACAGCATCTAAAGAACACATTACATTATACACTAAATTATAACGTGTAACCATTTTAATTTGATCGTAATGCATTAAAATATAACATGAATTTCCTAATAACATGTTTCTTGTTGTCCTCAAGCTGTTATTACTGGCTAATTTAGACAGATGAGCCAGGTTAAATCAAAAGCTCAGCTGCTCGTTTAATGGACTTCTTAAGTGAGGAGCTTGCTTATAAAAGCCGCAGCTTTGTTTACACCATCACTGGCAAAAGCCCGGTTTGCTGTCGTGCAGCCAGAAGCTTAGGATGTTATTAAAACTGTGTTTGTTTTGAAGGAATTACTCACCAGCTAGTTCCCTTTCCCCACGGGGCTGATTTTATATTAAACTGATTTTAATTTCTTGAGGTATGTTTGAATTAAAGTTTTGACTTTTCATCGCTCACAATACCCACTACTACCTCTGCCCCCACTCACACCCTGAACTGCATCACCCTAACGCCCCCACCCCCAACTCTTCACTCACATAGATTCAGATAGCCTCTCAAGCCCCACACGCCTCAGCCTGGCAGAGGGGTCGGAGGACCAACTGGACAGGTTCCAGCAGGTGGAGCTGGCCAGGACAACACCAATGTCTCAGTGGAGGGCGGGCACTGTGCAGGCCTGGCTGGAGGTTGTCATGGCAATGCCCATGTACATACGGACCTGTTCAGAAAATGTCAAGAGTGGCAAGGTAAAACCAGTAACATAATGCAGCTGGATTCCCTTTGCATTTTTCATATACAGTATTATTGTTGTGTACAGTTGCAAATATGTAACTTTTTCACATTTGTTTATTGAATGTTTAGGCTGTGTGGCTGTAGTGGCATTAAACTGAAACAGGCCCACTTTGGCATTATGCAGGTTTTGCTGGGGCTAACAGATGAAGACCTGGAGCTGGGTTTAGGGGTCAGCAGTTTAATGCATCGCCGGAAACTCCGCCTGGCCATTGAGGATTACAGAGATGCTGAGAACGGTAGCGGGTGAGGATGGGACGCCGTATATAGTACATTTAAACTGTACATGTATGTATTTGGCAGTGTAATAGAGCCATCTGTTGGTGATGAATAGTAATATCATTCACAGAATGTTGTGTGGGATCACCATAAAGTCCATAAGTCAAAACTTTAAGTAGAGATAAAAGCTTAGACATGCAATTTCAACAAAGGCAACATCCTCATTATCTTTACGAGTGCTTTGAAAGAATATAGATTAATGGCACGCATATCCACTAAACTAAAAAGAGTGTTTCTTGCCTTTGTGAACACTGCTATAATAGTCATCATGTTTCTTTATTAAAGGGCGTTTTTCCTCTCCACTGTCACCAAGTGCTTGCTCAAGGAAGGGTTGTTAGCTTTTTCAACAATAACAATAATAATAAGGTTTAGACCTTACTATATAACGTGCCCTGAGGTGATTTTTGTTGTGATTTGTTGCTATACAAAGTGAACTGAATGTTCACCATCTGATTTTAGTGTATTAGCATGCTAACATTTTTTAATTAGGACTAAACACAAAGTACAGCTGATGCTGAAAATGTAACTTTATAGCAAATTAAAATTGTGACCTGACTGGAGTTGGTGTAATGTTAAAAAACCACCAAAATTATTTTGTGCTCAGGTGAAGTGGCCCAATGAAAAGCAGTCACCCTGTCTGTCTGCAGGCTGTCTAAGGCTGCTGATATGGACCACCACTGGGTGGCCAAGGCCTGGCTAAGCGATGTGGGCTTGCCTCAGTACTCCCAGGCCTTTCACAATCATTTGGTAGACGGGCGCATGCTGAACTCCCTCACACGTCGCGATCTTGAACGTCACCTCAACATCACCAAGAAGTTCCACCAGGTCAGCTTGCTGTTGGGCATCGAGCTGCTGCACTTACTCAATTTTGACAAGGAGGTAAGTGCGAATCCGTCAGCATTCACAAACAGCAGACAGCAGCAAATACGCTTACTGTACAAGCTGAAGCAGCAGGTAAAAAACAGAACCTTAGCAGAGTAAAATGTGTTTGTTAAAATGGTTTCCAGGCACTGCAGGCTCGCCGGACACTGTGTGAGCACCAGAATGTGGATCCATTGGTATGGACTTCTCATCGGGTCATCAAATGGATCAGAGATATTGACTTGAAGGTTAGGATAGAAAAATACTCAGTCAACAGGCCTAAATTACTGTGGATGTAAACAATATGTTGTCTTTTTTTAAACTCCCATCTTGTAACAAAAATTTTCAAGTAAAGAATGCCATATGATAGATGCATAGAAGATATTTATCATCATTGTACAACAAAATTTGAATGGACCTACCTACAATTTACTGTAACAAAGTGAATATTATGACTAAACATTAACAGTAAACAGATCTTAACGCAGTGAGTATTATAAAAACACTGGCACATGGTGTTGTGAGTAACAGTCTGTTGTGTTTATATAGGGCTCCCTATCTCCATGGGAGTGATAGAAAGCCTTTGTTATTGTACTTCCAGGCTGCTGCTAGTTAATTACTAAGCCCTTCAGACTACAAGCCTCTGCAATTTGAATATTTCCATTCAACACTGTCTACTGTCTTAGCACAGAAAAACATTGTCCATAATGACGCATGACCACATTCAAGGTGTATAGAGATAAGGCTGTCTAGACTGACATCCTGTTAATATCCTCAGGGAGTTTGAATGTTCTAATATCTACTTATCAGTCAATGTTCTTTTTTCTCAAAGCAAATTTGACATAATTTTTTGAGACACTGTTGCTATCCCTGCCTTTTTCTTTAGCCAGAAATGGCAGCAATATTACATCAGAGAATCTTAGATGGAATGTTATGAATGGAAGAAGTCACTGTTTGGCCTTGTTTCCAACCACCTCTTCAGGAGTTTGCTGAAAATCTCCTAAACAGCGGAGTTCATGGAGCTGTCATGGTGCTTGACCCCACATTCAACACTGACGCCATGGCCACAGCACTGGGGATTCCCAGCAACAAGCATATGGTTCGCCGACACCTTGTTGAGGAAATGAAAACCCTGATTGGCCCAGCCAGGTGAGAGGAGACATACAAATTTAAACACCACCGTGCTCCACTACCTGAAACCTCTGTTTTATGTGTGAGTAGATCAGTTTAGAGATTCCTTAATCTGAAGGGAAGGCTCTCTAATAATAGGTGAGGTATTTGTTTGTTAAATGTTGTACAAAGGTGTAGCGTAGTGTTTTTGAAATGTTATTTGTGGATGCACCATGATCCTTCCCATTATCTCTGCAGGATGGATGCCAAAAAGGACTATGAGTGTTTAGGCCTGGGAACACCACTCACCTTGCTTTGTCAGAACTCCCTGGGCAGACCACCCAGTTCTACTGGCCAACACACTGATGAAGATGGCTCGCTGAGAAGGAGGGCTGTGAAGGTCAGAAAACAGTTAGGCTGGAAACTTTTTCAAGACTTGTCAAGACAGCTTTAGCTCTTATGCTCTCTCATCTTTTATATTTTGATATATCATACCCTGCAAATACTCATAGTGCATAGCAAACAGAGATTAGCGGTGACATGTTACAAGACTGCCACACAATATAGATTTGACACAGCAGGTGTTTAACATTCATGAGTGTGAATGCAGTGCAAACAAGGCAACCTGTATGGCAGCAGAATGAATGCACTGCATACTATAAGAAAAATTATACTCCTAGGTTGATAAATAGAAAAATATGCTATGAATTTGTCATTATATAAATATGTGTTTCTGTTCTAGCCTCCATCAGGGCTCAGCCCCAAAGTCCGCAGTAGGCAAGACTTAAGTTGTCATAACAGCTGTGGCTCCCTGCCTCGGGAAGTGCGAGACCACACTCCACCCACAGCGGAGGGAAGCCCCATCCGTGATTACACCAGCATCGGGGTCACCAATGTCTAAAGTCGTCAGAGCACAACAAACACCAGATATCAGCTTCACTGCACCTAAATGTAGGCTACATCATGGACATGTTTTTTGTTCTAAAGATAAGTCTTTAGAGGACTGATTGCACTTTTTTAAAGGAGCAGGATTCTTTTTTTACAAGTTTCCTGTTTTTTGTTTAAGACTCACTGTGAGTAGGTGGGGATGTTTCTGACAGCAGTAATTTCTCTTCCCCAAATCCAGAATCAGGAGATGAAGGACTCAAGCTAAATGATTATTTTTCTATGTTTAAATGGTTCTTTGTGAACCAGGATGTGACTAGTTGCTACTGACAGTCTGTTTCCCTAAAGGAAATTAGATTGAAAAGATTGTTTGTATAATACAGGGTACTTGATTTAAAAAAAAAAAGAAAAAAAAATTCTAAGTCTAATTTCAGTGTGAATTGTTTCTGTCTCATTCAGTTCTTCTGTGTGCAATGTCTTGTCAACATAGATGAGGACAATGGAAAAAGACTTGAATTGAATTTTACATTTAAGAGTTTATGTTTGATAGGCATTTTTCATCTTGAACATTTACACTGCTGTGTCTAAACAAATGTACCACCCCTTCTGATGTTTTATACTGTGCAGTAATAATGGAAAAATATCTGAAGAATGCCAACGAAAGAAAACTGTAGTCCTGTATGTTCACTGGAGCCTGCAGGCTAAGATTAAAGTGCTCCTTTTATTGAAATAAAGATCACGACTGAAATATAACCCATTGCAATAATCGTCACTCAGAGAAAAAGAAAAGACCAATTTGAAAAAAGTAAGATTATTTATTATAAAATGCAGGAGATTTTGTGATTAAAACAAGAAAATAATCTGAGCCAATTCTATCTTCTCCTACTGACGTTACAGATGATGTAACCTCTTAAAATGAATGTCCCACGAGAATCTGAAGGAAATTACATTGACGGGAAGCAGAAGGATGTACACGCCGCCTGAAAAATAAAATCAGAATCACAGTACTATTCAAAGCTCCCCTAAGCAATCAGTTGACAGCATGGTGACACAGTGATTAGCACTGGCACCTCACAGCAAGAAGGTTTTGGGTTCGAGTCCCGGCTGACCAGGGGCCTTTCTTTCTCTGCAGAGTTTGCATGTTCTCCCTGTGCTTGCGTGGGTTCTCTCCAGGTACTCCGGCTTCCTCTCACAGTCGAAAGACATGCAGCTCAGGTTGATTGGTGACTCTAAATCACCCATGGGAGTGTGTGTGGTTGTTTGTCTCTGGATGTCAGGCCTGTGATAGACTGGCGACCTGTCCAGGGCATACCCTACCAGGGAACACAATAAGTGGTATAGATAACAGATGAATGTTAAGGTTCTGGGTCTGTGCTGTTGTTCTGGGCTTCTTCCAGCCTGCAGTGACCAGGAAAAAAATAAACTCAACCAGCTGGTTGAAAAGAAAGTTGATTGGTCACACTTTGTAACTTCTGAAACTCATGAATGAGAGGAGCTTTAATACAAGTTTTAATTATAGGATAGAATAAGGAGTGATAGAGCATGGGAATTCTATTGTAGAAATTCACCATTTGATGAATAAAAGAGAAGATGTGAGAGAAACACTTCTTCCTTAACTCATTTGCAAGAGGAAATGTAATGCACTGTAATGCAAATAGGCTTCACAGTGGACAATAGCAACTTTCGGCAACAAGCCAATTCAAAGTTCCTTAAATAAAAAAAACTCAGTGATTACCTTTGTGTACTCATACTGATTCTGTACACCTGACTGATTCTTCTACAGTTCTACAGCATTTTGGTGACTCACTCTGGGTATTACCGCTTTCTCTGCTGGGCATGTTAACTCTCTGTTCAGACCTCTACGGAAAAAATGTTGCAGCTTCCTCCTCTTACTCACACTAAGTCAGTCACGGTGGCAAGCTAAGGATGACACATCACCAAATGAGACAGGCACCTTTTGACTAATGTAGCTGCTCTAACTCACTTAAGGCCTTTCTGGTAACTCACCCATGCATGGGCATATTAAAACAGGCAATAGATTATGTGATGCCCCTTTGTACTGTGGGAGATTAGAGGTATGACTAAGGAAGGGATGTCAGATGACACTCCATTTGTGAAATTAAATTAGCAACTAATTAAGGAAATAGTCAATGGATAAATGTAATTACACGTAGCAGTCATAAAGCCAAGATCAATGGTTCACATTACTGGATGTGAAGGAGCTTGCAGGTTGGATTGCAACAACACAATCAAGGCAGTGGTCTGGTTTTATTTGTTGGGAAGGAGTCACTGCATACAGTATTAACTGAAAAATCTTATGTCACATTTGCATGTGTCCATTGTCTATACTGCTTATCCTATAATAGCAATAGCATTTATAAGTTAATTTGCTACACTTAAGGCTTCCATGTAAATCAAGTTTATTTACTGTATACAACATTTTACTGAGACATTTTGGTATTACTCCCACTGTAGGGCCCAAAACCTGTGCACACACACTGTGGGGAATCAACCAGTATCTGGTACCTGGCATGTAAGTGAATACATTTTAGGGTAATGACTTGATTTGAGGTTAAGGTAAGAGTTAGGTCTAGGCAAGTACTGCTTATGGTGAAGGTAAATCCATGTAAAGGAATGAAACTAAATGTGTGATGAATGTTTATAGTAACACACATTAACGCTTAAGAGGGAGAACATTTCTCCAGTGTCCACAACAATCTAAAATGAACAATACAGAAATGGCGAGTGTGAGAACTAGTTTTGTCATTGGTGTAAGATAGTTCATTCCGGCAGGCTTACTCAGAATAGGACACAGAGATGTCTGGTTATATGTTGACAGAATGAATTATGGAAGACCATTTGTGTCATGTGAGTGTTAACATAAACCTGAATGACTTGTCAGTGCATGGGGAAGTAAACAGTGACTCATTAGTGCTAAATCTTACTCTGTGAAAGCAAATGGGTGTGTCACTGTAAAGCACTCTGTGAACCCTGTATCATAAAGGTGGTCTTGATTTTTATGTTTATGTGAATATTTGTTCTGCATAGAAGGACTGTAGTGTGGATGGACATTATTTTGTTAAATTGTATTCCAGCTCTAGACAAATGTTGTTGGTCTTACCTGGTATGCAATAGGCCTAACAGCCTCTTAGCATTTAATTCGGACTATTTAATTGGGAATGAATTGATCATTTTTTTAGAAATTTACAAACCCCTAAAAATTATTCTTCACCTCTTGGTTTGACACTGGGGAGGGAAAAAAATTCTGTGTGCGGTCATGTCTTAACTAAGCTTGTTGTTTTTTGGCCCCATTGTCACCGAAGCACACTGGAGGGGTCCCTAGTTGGATCACCATAGGACACCTAATTCTTGCTTCCTGGCGCATATTTTCCCCACAGTTTGGACTTCAGCACAAATAAAGGACCTGTAACCTACTATAAAGTTAAACTCAGTTCAAATGATGACGCTGGAGACCGAGAAAACTCTGCCACAGATCAATCAGACGAGGTTGGATACGAATAATCAACCAGCTCGAGAGTGAAAGAGTTAATGAAAGTGGAAGTGTACTGAGCCCCCTCCTTCTCGCTCTGCCTCTGCGCCTGAGCCCATGGAGGAAGTAATGTTCCAGGTACTCGAGCGGTATTTGTCATCAGATCATGCCACATCAACTCGTCCTAGTGTCGGCAGCATTTTAAAGTAATCTTTGCACCTCCCAGTTCTGAGAAGAAACCATTTTTTTGGGTGACTTAATGCCAAAACGATGTAGAGGTGAGTGGAACGCCCATGCGCGCGTTTGGTTGCATTATTCGTTTGTGCTGTTACTGGGAGTGCTCCTCAAAGTGAAACAGCAGTGGAAGTTTTAAAGTGTTTTAGTCCTGGAGACATTTGTTGAACTGTACACCTCTTATGATCAGCTGAAGCCGTGTTTTAGTATTAGACTGCGCTGCAGGATGTTTGTAGGCAACACAAAATACGCTCGAACAAAATCGACCCCTACACACCCAGATATCATAGTCTACATGAATGGAAAAGGTCATTTTAGACGCGTTTGTAAAAAGTTGGTTATAGACTACACGATTAATTAACAAGCTCTGTGTATCAAATCAAATCAAATCAAATTTTATTTGTATAGCGCCAAATCACAACAAAAGTCATCTCAGGACACTTTACAAAGTAAGGTCTAGACCTTACTGTTATGAATATTATTACATAGGGAAAACCCAACAAATCCCCCTTGAGCAAGCACTTGGCGACAGTGGGGAGGAAAAACTCCCTTTAACGGAAGAAACCTCCGACAGACCCCGGCTCTTGGTGGGC